TCTGGGCGGACGGAGGGGACGGGGGCGACGTACCTAGGCCTGAGAGACGGGACGCTTCTGCGCGGAGACCTGCTACGGCGGCGTGCGCTCTCTTGTTCATCTCCTGCAGTGCTGCGTCGTCGATCGGCGCGGACACGGAGGACTGGTGGCCGCGGGAGCTGGTGGACCACGCCCTACCGCCATAGCTGGAGGAGTCGGAGAGCGGAGAGCAGGCTGAGGGCGAGACATCGCCCATGCCTTGGACGGGAGGAAGGATGTTGTACTTGTCCTCTGCGGAGGAGGCTGTGGAAGGACGCCTAGAGGGCTTGCGGGGTGGAGGCTTGGGGGGATGCCTCGGGATGTGGGGAAGGGGCGAGGGTAGGAGAACGGCGTGAGGATTTGCGTCGGCGAGGGAGCGAGAGAGGCCGTCGGGGTGCAGGGCGGGAATTTGGGGAAGAATCAGGTCAGATCGGAGGCCGTTGGCGTGGAGCCGACCGTCCGTATCGTGCATGGGGGGTCGGGGCGGAGCAGGAGACGGTAGGAGGCGCGACGGGAGGAGGACGTGGGCGGCGACGATCACTGGGACGAGGATGGCATGAGGGAGGGCGTAAGGAGCAGCGTAAGGAGGAGCAGGGGCGGTTGGCCTGGGCTTTGGCAGACCAAGTGGAGTACGTCGCTCCCGGAAGAGGTGGGCTGGTGCAGACGCGCCGGCTGAGTGGTGGACGTTCTCGCTCTGCACTCGCCTATCTCGCTTCAGCACAGGACCCCAGATAGACGCCCACACACGCCCACCTTCCCACGATCCGGCGTGAGCGCCCGGTGGCTGTAGCAGACGAGACGTCGACGTCATCGCACATCGCCGTGCCCGCTCCATGCCCCTGCACACGCCAAGCACGCGCAGGACCCTGCCTATGCCCTAGTAGGTCCGATTACAATATTGTCGACTGAAAGTGCCTTCATATGAGCCTAACGTCCGAGTCAGTATGTCGTACTAAACCACCCTTATGGGGTTCAAGGTCCGATAGCCTGTGTCGACTTATATGGGTCATGGCGGGGGAGGTCCGATCAATCATGTCGACTATGGTCGGCGCCATGTACGACCCGATCGCATTTTTGGCTCCCCCTTCCGCATCAGCAGTGTCTTGACACCATGACACCTTCATACGATAGGATATATGTATAGAAACCGCTTTGCATTTATGTAGAGCTCTCCTCAATTTCCCTGATTTTCTAGAGGTCCGATTGTACATGTCAATAGGCGCCAGACCCAAAATGGTATGTCCGAAAAACATGTCGACTGAAACCCCCAAAAGGTATGTCGACCGAAACCCCCAAATTTGGGTGATTTCCTATCGGACCTACTGGGGCATAGGCAGGGGTCCTGCACGCGCACGCTGCTCCAGTTCGAATCCATCCATAGTCTGTGTCTATCACAGCGCACCTACGCTACAACATCGCCGAAGACGAGCATCGCCCACATGTACAGCGGCAGCGTCACGTTGTCGTTCTGCACGGAGAACGCCTCCAACGCCGCCGCCAGTCCTCCCACCACCGCGTAGCGCCCAACCTGCGAGCGTCGGCCCATTGCGTCAGTACATCAATCCATTCTCCCGGTCACGCCCCTCTCCACCCGCGCGTCCCCCTCGACGCGCAGAAAATCTTCCAACGCGTCCATTCATCCCGCTGGCGCTGCGCCGATGGCATGCCCCCAGGATGCAAACAGAAAAACTGCGACTCACCGAGAAATCTTCCGCGACGCCGCACACCCGCAGCAGCCACGCGCACGCACACACCGACGTCACGAACGCCGCGCTGCCCTCTATCGTCTTCGGGTTCGCCGCGAACCACCGGTGTCGTCCCAGCCGTTTGCCCACAATCGACGCCTACACACAGTACGCGCATGTCCGAAAACACACCGCGCGACCGGCGCCCGCCCCCGATCACGATCAGCTGGTGCACTCGAGAGGCGCCCATAGGGAGCGAGGCACGTACCAGAGCGTCCCCGACGCCGAGCACGAGCGTCCCGGTAAATTGGAGCAGGCGTGAGGGGCTGTCGATCGTCCGCCGGTCAATTGAGAAACGCAAAATTTGCCTGCGGGCGCAGGCAGGGACAGGGGAGGCTGAACCACTCACCCTTCGAACCACACGGAGTTCGCGCACCCGGTGAGCAGGTAGAAGTGGCTGAGGATCGCCGTCCCACCGTCCTTCGAGTCCAGGAACTCGTTCATGAACAGGTGCACCGCCGCGCCGAGCGGGTACAGCGCAAAGTACCGCACGTATTCCGCGAACGTGAACAGCGCGAACGCGGCGCTGAACGCGACGTGCGTGAACGCAGGCTGCCAAATCCGACGTTAGCTTAGGCCCGTGATTGTGCTCCACAGCGACAGCAGCCTCGCCACCAGCGGTCGTCCTGCCAATATGGAAGATTCGACCGCGCGGAACGTTCACCGAGAACCTCCCGCGACGCCACTGGGGAGCAAAGGGGGAGAGAAGATACGCACATCCACCGCGATCCCGGGCACGAACATGACCACCGCGAGCGCGTGGAAGAACTTGCGCCGCGCGTTCACGCTCAGCGTCGGGACGTGCTTGTCCGCCGCGTCCAGCAGGTCGTTCGCCACGTTCGAGAAGTTCGAGCCGTTCGGGAGGTCGGGCAGCTTCGACAGGTTCGGCAGCCGCATGCCCAGCGGGCCCGCCCCTGCCCCTTCCCCGGCCGGCCCCGCCGTCGTCGGAGCGCTGGGGTCGCTCTGTTCGCCCGCGCTCGCGTTGGGGCTTCCGCTGCTATTAGCGTTCGTGCCTGCTCCGTTCTGCTGTGCCTGTTGCTGCTGCTGCAGTTGCTGCGCCTGCGACTGCGGCGGGGGCTGCACCCCTAGCGACCCGTATCCTGGCTGGCCGAACGAGGCCCCATATCGCGGGCTGTGCGGCCCCCCTTGCGCCTCTCCTCCGCTCACGCTGACGTGCATGCTCGCGCGGACCTGGCGGAATCGCCGCCCCCTGGAGAGCTGGCGGCCCCACCCCGCAACGCTCAGGGCAATAAGCGTGCCCCAGTACACAAGCAGGGCAGGCCGCGTCCACTTGTTTTTGCCTTCGAGAACCCAGAAGACGATGTAAACCCAGGGGTTGCGCCCGCCGAGGCTCCACCCAGTCCAAAGCCCGACGAGGCCGCCGACGATGAGGAGGGCCCCGGTGTAGAAGCCGAGCGCGAGAAGCCGTCGGTGCTTCTGCTTCTCTTGCGGGTACCGTAGGCGACGGACGGGGCGCTGGGCGATGTGGCGCGAGAGATACAGGAGCGGCGAGAGGAGGAAACCGGTAAGGAGTGAGCCGGGTATGAGAGCGAGCTGGTATATGAGAAGCGGAGTAGGTAATCGGACGGTCTTGATGTAGGGTGTTGACATGGGCCACAACTGAAAAGGCAACGGTTAGAGTACGGTAAAACGATTACTATAATTAGTTGCTAACCTTCGCAATCGTCAGGTTACACAGCTCCATGAAAAGGATCGTGGCGCCAAACGCGACGAGGCCGAGCTCGCCAAAAGTGAATCCGCGGTGCGCAAGGCGTACAGAGATGTACAAGGTCATCTGGAAGAACATCGCGCTCGTCACGACCTCGAAATACGACATACCTGCCCACATCACACCGTCAGCGCTCGAATCTCCACACACGCAGAAGAGGAAATTCGACGCACTCTGCCATATCCCGAGCCGCAATTCCTCCAACGCGATTCGCACACACAAAATCCACAAGGTCACACTGATGGCAAACAAGATGTACAGGTAGGTTCTTCGGCCTTCCTTGCGAGGAACGGAGCTCACTTCGCCCTCGGGCACGACGAGCTTCCTCCGGTGACGCGCCTCCGTCACCCATGACGCACATACGTGTACGAGGAGGAGCGTAGCGCAAAACGTCGATTGGCTTACGAGAATTCGCCGAGAACGGAGCGAGGCTTGAAGAGGTGTGAGAGGAATTGCCGTCTGCGGAAGCGTCATAGGAGGTTCGACGAGCCAACCACCGGGAAGAGGGTCTCCGGGAGGATCCATGGAACTCAGTTGCAAGGAGATGTAGAGGAGGGCAGCTGCGATAAGCGGGCCCAGTAGGAGACCGGTCATTATTCCGTCGTCCTGGGCGTTCCTTTCAACAACCTCGTCAATACGGTGTTATTCCTAGCGCCTGAACGGACTATATACGTGATACGCAGAGAAGTTTGACCATAGCGAGCACAGCAGACAAATATACAAGCCGACCCTGCAGATATGCGCTGGAGATGTACGATCTCCGCTCAGACGAGCGGGAGCGTTTTGGCGCGCCGGAACCGTACATAACCACCGCATAACCTTGCGTGCAGCCTGTACCCTTGCCTGCCATACCTTCGTAGCACCCGTCCCCGAGTATTGCAATGGATGATATCAAGCGTATTGAGAGTGAGGTCACGCGGGCACAGGTGTACCGAACCTCTAGAACCATCCGGATCGTGCCTAACCAGGCTCAAAGTGGCACGACTACCGGCGAGTACCAAAAATATGACCCGCCGCGGACCACCCAAAGAAACGGTAGGCCCCGCATGGCTGTACAGGTTCGGTACTCACTGCTATGATACGATACGACTTTGTCTGGTGCGAAGATGTCTGCGGTGCATGTTTCGAGTGCGACCCATCAAGCTGTGCTCGCCGTTCTGAACTACGTGCAAACAGATCTTAGAAGTACGCACCTGTAATTCTTTGGGACAGTCATCCACACGAAGCCAGTGTCGCGACTTCGCGCGGTAGCGTTGTTCAAAGTGAGCGAGTTTGTTGGACGCCGGCCATCAACGTGACGCGGCGAGGAAGGTCGTGAAGGTGGCGTCGGAGGACGCTCGGTTCGTGAGGTTTGCGTTCTTGTCCAGGATACTCTCGTCCATGTACAGTAGACGGCTGAACAGATGACAAGCAATGCAAGTTCTGAACAGATCACGTCAGCTTACGGCGTAAAGCGGAACTAACGGGAGAAGAGCGGTACCTATGGACATCCACATGTCCGCGTCGAGCGGACCCGTGGCGAATCCGCGAATTTTGACGGCTCCGTAGCCTACTGAGCACAGAAGGATGATGTTTTCAAGGGCTTGTCGCGTGTCAAACGATGCCTTGCACACTCCGCGCAGCAGCGGCAGGCGGAATGTGATGCATACCGTGCTCGGAAACAGAGACCGGATTGCGACCACTGGGCCGTTACGGTGCCTAGAGAAGAGAGAAGGCGAAGACGGCCGGTTTACGCCGCTCGCTCCTCTTTCCGGAGGAAGGACAGCAGGAGACCGAGACCGCGTGAACGTCCGCCGTTCGTAAGGCTTTGGTCTCGTGGGGCTACTTCGTCTGGACCCGCTGGACACCGACTGTGTACTATCCTGACGAGTAAGGAACGGCGCCGCATTATCCCGGGGTTCATTTGCCTGTGGTCCTATTGGTCTCTGTACAGGTTGCCTTCCGCGCGAGCCCGAGCGTCCGCCATCCGTGCGTTCGTCCTCGCTTACGGTGTCCTCCGAGTCCGAACTACTCGTTTGGCTGCGGTGAGTCATTACGAGGCGCGGTGAGTGCACGCCAAACACACCTGGATGACCCCGCCTGGTAGCTCGTGCTCCAGCCTTGCGGCTGGCGTTTCAGTTGTGAGGGCCCTGGGGCGGGTGGAAGCTTGCCCGAAGACTGCCTGCGAGCCGACTGAGGACGGGGCTTTCTAGCGGAATGCTCTGCGCGACCACCAGACTTTCTGGCCGGCGGAGACGGTGAAGACGGCGAGCGAGGCAGGATGGGCAGAGGCAGACACCACCTCGGATGGTGGTTGGGGTGAGAGTGTTCTGGCGCGCCCCAGCCCGTGTGTTCTGAATAAGTGGACTGAGATTGGAGAGATGTCCGCGCCTGTTCCGGCCCGCTTCGGCTGCGTAAGCCTGATTGGGATATTGTCCGACGCGGGGTTCGGAGTTAGCCGCGGCCGCACAGCGCCGCACGCGTCCGGCCGCGCCGATCGCCGCGAGCCGCCGCAGCCACTTTCGCGTCGACGCGACGCGACTTGACATCTCCCTCTCTCTCCCTCCCTCCATCCACTCCTCCACAACGCGTCCTACGCGTCTCCTACTTCTTGCTTTTTGCAGTACTCCACATCCGCGAAAAAAAATGGACAAATCTGCGCCCGTCGTCTACCTCGAGGATCTCGAAGGGCCTATAAAGGCCGCAAAGGAGAACGTGAAGCGCGACGCGTCGCAGTCATCGAAGCCATCTCCGGCCAAGTCAGATTCATCCGAGCGAAAGACGCAGACGGGCGCAACAAAACGTCAAATGACGCTCAAGGATATGTTACCTTCCGGGTCATCTACTCCCAAGACACCAGTCGCGAAGAAAGCTCGAACGGCACTATCTGCCAACCCGTCTCTCAACTCTATCCCTTTCTCTCTCTCCGACTTCCAGAGTACGTTCTCAGATGAGGAGAAGAAGCTGCTTGCTTTGGAATGCCAGACCATGGGAAAGAGCTGGTAGGAGAGTTCCTGTCCGAGACTGATGGAGTGCCTACTAAAACGCTTGTAGGCTGAAGCTTCTCAAAGACGAGATTCGGCAACCGTACTTCATGAAGCTGAAAAGATTCCTTCTTGAGCAAGGGGTGAAGGGCCCAGATGATAGTGCTCCGAACTTGAAGGTATACCCAGCACGTAAGCACGCTTTGGCCAAGTTCATTTGCACCTGTGCTCACGTCACTGCTTATAACGCAGCGAAGAACATTTATGCATGGTCGAACCTAACCCCTCTGGGTAGAGTGAAGGTCGTCATAATTGGTCAAGACCCGTACCATGGCCCCGGACAAGCTCACGGTGAGTTACAGATCACCTGCAAATCCTTTCCCACACTCCACTCACACCGACAAAGGTTTGTGCTTCTCAGTTCCGCCGGGCGTCTCCGTCCCACCTTCCTTGCGGAACGTAAGTACGGGTGTTATTTGCAATTCCTCATTAAGCTCATCAAGGCTCAGATCTACGCTGAGATTAAGTCCGAGTATCCTTCGTTCGAGCCACCAAAGCACGGGTAAGTGGCTTCTCCGAAATGCCGGGACCAGACTAAGCATGGATTGTGTAGCACGCTGACCACTTGGGCTGAGAACGGTGTCTTGCTGCTCAACACAGCTCTGACTGTGAAGGCCAATGAGGCGGGTTCCCACTCTAACCAGGGCTGGGAGCAGTTCACCGATAAAGTCATCGACGTAGTCGACCGTTTCGGTGGCGCAAACCTTGGCGACAAGAACAGCGCATCTGCCGGTCGTGGTCGTGGCATTGTCTTTTTGGCATGGGGCGCGTGGGCGGCCAAACGCATTGCGAAGCTTGACAAGGTGCGTCCTGAGCGCATCAGACCGCTTTGTTGAGATTGACGTTGAGACGATCATCAGAAAAAGCATCTCATCTTGACCAGCCCTGTGAGTGTCCCGCCATCTTTTTTCTGCCACCAAACTTACAGCTTATGGATCGATGTGATTGTGTATGCGTGAACCTCGTTGCGACTGCACGGCGCTGTTCTATCAAACTTACAGCACCCGTCCCCGTTGAGCGCTCACCGTGGATTTTTGGGCAACGGTCATTTCAAGAAAGCCAACGACTGGCTCGAGGAAAAGTATGGTGCTGATGGCTGTGTCGACTGGACCAACCTGTGATCAACCACACTGCGTTTCGCCCGCTCGCGCCCATGTTTGATCGTCGATGTCCGCATTGTATATGAATGATAAGCCAACTTCTTGGGTTACTGCTGGTGAGTGCACCGCTCTCTTGCGCGCGTGAACGGCCAGGTACCCGACACGTCGTGTATGAGCAACGCAGTCGCCGTTCGTCTCGAGCTAACTGGAACCCCCCATGTACAGCGCTCCCGGACCTACATCTCCCATGACCGCTATGTATATATTCTAATCTTGTCTCCTGCGACGGCGCTCGGTCGCTAGTCGGAGTTCGACCTCGACCTCGACCACCCGCAGTCGTCTCCTCCAACGTCATCGAAACACAAACTTCCGGCATCCCGCGCGGTGTCTCCTCGAGCTCGGGTCTCTGCCTGTCGACTCAACACCTCTTGATGAGCCCTTTTCGGGCACCTGTCGACAGGTGGCAGCGCAAGCGCGCTCGTACCGCCGCCAGGGTCGCGCCCGGGTTCCTGCGCGCGCGCGCCCAGTGCAGCGTGGCCACCTCGAGCGTGTGCGCCGGCGGCCCGTGGCGAAACATGCATTGCTCCCGCCCTCGTCCGGTCGATCTACTCGCCGGGCGCACCCTCTGCGCCCCCGTCAGACGTCCTGATCCCGACGCGCCCTTGTACTCAACGGTTGTCCCGCTCCTCACCGCCGTCAATGCTCCGGTGCCTCGATGATGGATACTGCTTCTCGCTCTGCTGTTGTCGCTGTCGCTGTCGCTGTCACCACTCGCCTTCTCTCGCCTCGATCACGCCCACGCCCCCAACCGCCTCCTTGTACGTACCACCCCCCGCTCCCTCCCTCCCTTCCTCCCACCGCGTATCACCCAGGTATAAACAGACCCTCTATCGCCCCCTCCATGCCGTACACATTATTCAATTAATCGCCCGTCCTGTATATACTGTACACATTAAATGCGTCCCCCTGCACAACCGGCAGGCTATAGCGCTAGCGTCTGCGCTCACACGTCCCGTCTGCCGCGGTCGACAGACGCATCCGGGCGCTGTCGCGGCCTGTCGATGCTCCGCGATGGCGCAGCCTATGGGGCTCCTCGCCCTCGACAGCACTGATGATCCGCCCTTGGCCGCGGGAGCGACACACTCGCTCCCGGCCATCCAGGCTGAGCCGTGCCCCTCCGACCTCCCATCGCCATGTTCCATCGCGGTAGCAGTCCGGTAGGACATACTTGCGCCGCGGACCCTCGGGTCTTACACCTCAACACGTACATTCTCACTCGCCCCGCCTGACGACTCTGAACGCCGACAGCAGCGCCGAAAGGCTGCATGACCGCACTCGCCGCAGCGGCATGGCTGGCACACCCGGGCGCACCGTGGCGGCGGCTCGCCCAAGACACCGGGTGCCTGGATGGTCGCCGGCGCGCACGAGCGAGTGTTACGTGACGGGCGAGTGCATTGCATGCGCTTCTGTCTTCTAGCCTCGTCGCGCGCAGGAGGTGGCACATGGCGGCGATCCGCCGCGCGCTGGGCATGGGCGCTGGGCGGCGTACGACCGCATCATACGCGCTGCCACACGCTTCTGGCCCTCCTGGATCCGGCGTGGGCGGGCGCGGGTAGCAGAAAGGGTTGGCATGCGCACGGCAGCGGCGAGACAGGCGGGGGGGGGAGACGAAGGGACAGGGGAGATGTGGGCTGCGGTTGGCAGAAGACGCTTGTTTCGTTTCTAGTAGGAGAGGCCGGTAATATACAATGTGGGGGTCCCAATAAGTATAGCAGCAGCCGCGCGAGCGCACGCATATAGCACGCGTGGGAGGCAGGCGGGGAGAGAGGCGTTCCCGTTTCATAAAGGAGGGGAATTATAGACACGGATTGTAAGGTGCAGCGACGAGCCGGGGGTGGATTGTAACCGTACAGCAGAGCAGACAATGCAGCAGAACGCAAGACAGGGCGGGTGGAGAGAAGATCATGATGGGGGCGGAGACGCAGCGACTGAAGATGGGATAGTCGGGGTGTGCGGTGGTGGTGGTGGTGCGAGAACGGACGGGCGGTGGTGGTGATGGGGTAGAGTGGGGGCGCGAGGCGCGCGGGGAATAGCGATACATACGATACAAGACGGAAAATCTCCAGATGGATCCCCTAAAGTTAGAAGTGTCTACGGCGGTCGGCATGGGAGGGAGGGGGCGGGTGACGGCTCGGCGCCAGGCGCATCGGTCCTCCGCGTTCCAGGGCAGACGACCTGGGACGCGCAGGGCGCGAGCGGGCGCGCGCGAGCGTGGCTAGTGCAGCCCTGGATACCTCCGCTGGTTGCCCGGGCCCCCGGGGAGGTCGAAGTCGGGCATGGCGGAGTCGATCGCGTTTAGCATCGCGGACGGCATGCGCGGGGCGGGCGTTTGGAGCGAGTTTTGCTGCGACTGGCCGTGGGAGAGCTGGTTGAGCAGGTTGCGGTAGCTGTCGGGCTCTGTTACTGAGCGCCGCTGCAGAAATGCCGGCAGTGACATCGGCGGGTTCACGTCGTGGTTGCCGCCGCCCCCGCCCCCGTGTGACTGCTGTAGTGAGGGCGGTATTGATGAGGCCGCAGGCGGGCCCGAGAGGAGGGAGTGCGGGTAAGAGAATGTTCGTCGATCGTCTGGAGGGAGGTATCCGAATGATTTCTCGTCCGAAGACGAGAAACCCGGGAACTTGTCTTGGACAGAATTCGAGAACAGATCGCTGGTGGTTGAGCGGCCCATGGAGCCGAATGGGGAGCCCTGGGCGGGTGGCGAAGGAAGGGAGAACGCAGAAGAAGATAGCGGCGGGTTTGACTCCTTGTCCCCAAACATGGACTCCGACCATCCCGTAGGGTCCATGTCAGGCCCAGATTGCTGAGGCATAGACATGGCGGCGCTCATGGGAGGATCAGGTGACATGGAATGCGCACTGGTGGATCCGGTGGACAGTGGTGACTCTGTGCGGCTCATTGGAGGGAGGGTGCCCGAGGATGTGAGGGCGGGTATTGAAGGCAGCAGCGAGGCGATCCCCGCCTCTGCAGGGGGAGATTTGTTGTTGCCTTTTGGCTTGTCCTTGCCGGTGGGCCCCTTGCCGAGAAGCGGGCGATTAGCAGGGGGGAGATTGAGTGCTGCGCGGAGCGTGTTGTTCTCTTCCTCGAGCTCGGAGCAGCGCTGCTCGAGAGCCTTTGGGGGGCATCAGCACGGATCCGAAAGGGGTAGATGAAGATCGGCGCACCTCGAGATGTGCGGCTCGCCTGGCACGGAAGGCCCTTTGTACGTCGCGCGCCCTGTTTGGAGGGAGATTGTCGTTGCGTTTGCGGCCGCGCTTGGAGGACATGGCGGGAGCGGGAGACGAGGGGGCGGATGAGGAGGACAGGGTGTCCAGCGTGGCTAGAATGTGGCGCAGAATGCGGGGAGGGGCGAGAGGTCGGAGTCGGGGGCGATGGACGAGAGCAAGAGGGCGGTATATATAAGCGCCGCGGAGAGGAAGGAGGAGGGAGGATATTTGAGGGGCAGGAGCCGGCGGGTGCCACGGACTTTGATCGCGGTGCAGTGGGCGCGTCGATCAGGCAGAGTCGAGTGCAAGGAGAGTTCGAAGGCGGGGGAGGCAGGAGTCCCCACCAGCAGACGCCCGACGCTCCGTCCCCGCCTTCGCTTCTGCCGCCGCCGCCTAGCCCTGCGTGCCCACAGCACGATCCCGTCGCGATACCGCACGGGACATCACCCGACTGGGCGTGCGCAGCTATCGACATCACTCGCCTGCGTTCTCACCACTATGGGCTTCCGGAGTGACGAATTTTGCGAGTTGAAGTGACCTTTAACTCACTTCGTCAGTTTAATTAGTGGTGAAGTGATGGAGTGCGAACGAGGTAGGGAAAAGCACGAGTATGTATACTGCGAGGAAGAGTGACGAAATTCCACACTTCGGCCAACGTCCTCCAGAAGGCTGGCGCCTAATCTCGCTTTGGGTGCTTTGGGCGCCTCGCGCTCGCCACTAGAACTTGTTATTTACTTCGAACATTCAGAACACTCGTGCAAAGCAATATTGCTGCGAAATATATTACAGTAACGTATAAAGATGCACTATATACAGGTCTGCCTCCTTAGTATATTATGCCTCGAGCGTGGCAAGGCTTGCTTTGCCTTCTCTCATAGGCCTAAGGCGCCAACTTTGGGACACCGTCGCCCGCGACCGTGCCCCGCCTCGGCGCCCTTCCCGGGTGCGCAAACAACCCATGGCGGCGCAACACCCT